CGCCCTACGCTTTTCAGCATTTGGCGCCGCTCCCAGCAACAGCAGCGGCCCTGCTCGAGACTTCCTCCCTTTCTGTTCAGGGCCAGGTCCTTGCCTCGCCGCCGGCAGGCCCCATCCCCACAAAGGCAATCCTGTCGCTCGATACAGCCTTGTGCTTTACCCTCGGCGGGGGCTCCATTAGCGGTTTCGCATCGGCGCAGCAAGGCTCGGGCATGCGTTCTCGAGGCGGGATATGTTAAATTTCCTCAGGGGAGGTGTTTGCAAAACCTCATTGGGCGGGAGACCTGGGAATGGGAATGACGGACCCCGCGATAGAACAATCGTTCCCCATGATGGGGATTGTTACCATGATGGTCGCATGTTTCGTGTGGAGTCATCGCGCATGAGGGTGAACTGATTGCTGTTGTTGTTGTTGTTGCTGCTGCTGTTGTTGTTTGGGGGGCGCTGCGACCCCCCCCCCGAAACGCTCGAGCGTGAGCTTAATGTCCGCAAGAAGTGTAGCCGGCGCCGCGGCGACAACGCCAGGGCGGATGAAGGGTGTCCATCAATGAAAATTGTACACTATTCGCATCCAGCAACAACATAATATATATATATATATATATACCTGCCGCGCGTATTTGGCGCATCTGCTAAAACAAGGGAAGGAGGGGACGAGTGAAGAGAAAAGAGGGAGGGAGAAGGATGGAACATGAGAGAGGTTTGCAGGGGGATGGCCAGGAGCAGCAGCACAATCGGCAGAACCAGCCTGGCGTGTCGGGCGGGAGGACCCTAACGGGCAGGTCGGGCGGGCGGGCCCTGGAAACCAGGTCGAGCGGGCGGGTCGCTAAAGCGTAAAACCATCATGAAGGAAGTTTCGAACGATAACGCGATCCTCCTGCAAATCGCCAGGGAAGATGGAGCGAGAGCGTAATTTGTGAGTCTTGGAGGCACGGCGCCGCAAGCCATTGTGCGGAAGTACCACGCGATGGCGCGATTCTTGGATAAAGTATGAGGAAGTGCCGCGCGAAACCACGAATGTGCAATACATTGCTAGGAAGTATCGGGCGGAAGCCGTTGTTGTTGTAGTTCGGGGGCCACGGGCCCAGTTTGACCTTCAAGATTTCTTCCTGAAAAACAGGGTGCGAGCCCCGGGAGGGGCACTTCAATTGGAAAAATACAGTGCTTACCAGAAGGGGGAATCTACACATTTTTTTCAGAAGTGTGTGCTCAACAACAACAACAACAATAATACTAGTAATACTATTAGCGATAATAATGCGAATACGAATGATAATAATACTACGAATACTAGTACTACTATTACTGATAATAGTATGGTATACGAATACTAATACTTAGAACAATACTAATCCTTCACAACAGCAGCTGCAACAATACCAACAATCAGTTTCATATTGTTCGCTACTATTTGCTCGAGTGTCCGTCAACGCGTATTTCCCACACCCTCGACACACGCCCTCTTCGTCTTCGATAGTACCTCTGTTCGGGGGTACAATGCTCTTCCCTGCATGCCGGGCTCCTGCAAGCGGCGGGGCGGCCGCGGACCGTCGGCCTGGCCAGCGGCAGCACTGATTGGCGACAACCCGACCCCAAGAGGCACGGACAGGGCACCGACCACGACGACGACGACGACGACGACGACGGCGGTGACCACGACAACGGCGACGACGACGACGACGACGACGACGAGCGAAAGCGAGAGCGACAGCGAGAACGAGAGCGACAGCGGGGCCAAGAAGGGCAGGAAGGGGGGCCCCTAAGGGCGGCAGCGGGCCCACGAAGGTTACGCGTATGAGGCCACGAAGGGCGCGAACGAGCGGGGGCCACGAAGGGCGCAGAGAGCAACGACGGGGCCACAGAGGGCAACGGCGGGGCCGCTGAGGGTGGCGACGGGGCCACGTAGGGCAGCGAGGGGGCAATAATGGGCGACAGCGGGCCCACGAAGGGCATGCACATAGGGCCACGACGGGCGCGAACAAGCGGGGGCCACGGAGGCCATGCGTAAATTGGGCCACGGAAGGTAAGGGCGGGGCCGCTGAGGGCAGCAACGGGGCAACGAAGGGCAGCGAGGGGGCCGCGAAAGGCGACGGCGGGGCGGCGAAGCGCATGCAGATGGGGCCCACGACGGGCGAGAACAGGCGGGGGCCACGAAGGGCATGCATATATGGGGCCACGAAGGGCAGAGAGGGGAGGCCGCGAAGGGCTGCAACGGGGCCACGAAGGGCAGCGAGGGGGCCACGAAGGGTTGCAACGAGACCACGAAGGGCAGTGAGGGGGCCACGAAGGGATACAACGGGGCCACGAATGGCAGCGTGGCGGCCACGAAGGGCTGCATCGGGGTCTCGGGGGGGCCACGGAGGGCTGCAACGGGGCCACGAAGGGCAGCGAGGGGGCCACAAAGGGCTGCAACGGGGCCACGAAGGGTAGCGAGGGGGCCACGAACAGCTGCTAGGCGGCCACGAAGGGCTGCAACGGGGCCACGGAGGGCAGTGAGGGGGCCACGAAGGACCGCAACGGAGCCACGAAGGGCAGCGAGGGGGCCACCAAGGACAGCGAGGGGACCACGAAAGGCAGTGAGGTGGCCACGAAGGGCAGTGAAGGGCAGCGAGATCCCGATTCCTAAGTAAGCTGTGATCGAGTCCGAAGCGTGAGCGCGACTCCTGGGTGCCTAAGTGTCGGGAGCGCGGCGCTTTAGTAAATTGCGGGGACTTCCAATTCAAAATGTGTTTTCGGTTCCAGCCAAGCAAGTCTCCAGCGAAAGCGCGACTCCAAAGCGCCGGCGGCCCCTTAATGAAGAGCAAGGAAGTCCCAAGTGAAAGCGCGATTCCTGAGTAAAACGCGAGGAAGTCTCAGGCGGGAGCGGGGGTCCTGGCTAAATTGCGAGGAAGCTTCAGGCGGGAGCCGTTGTTGTTAAATTCCAGGTGACAGCAGCACAGTTTGAGCCCCGAGACTTTCCCGGGTAAAAAAACCGGGCGCGAGTCCCAGATGAAGCGTGTTTTTTTCAGTAATGAGAGTTCAGCAATAACAACAACAACAACAACAACAACAACAACAACAACAGCAGCAGCAGCAACAACAACAACACAAACAACAGCAACAACAACAACAACAATAATAATTTTAAGACCGTTCGCCCTTATATGCTCGAGTGTCCAATAACAGGTATTTCCCAAACCCTCGATACCCGCCCTCTTCGTCTTTGATCGAACCCCCTTTGGGGGTATACCTTTCTTCCCTGCAGGCCGGGCCCCGGCAAGCGGCGGGGCGGCCGCGGACCGTCGGCCTGGCCAGCGGCAGCGCTGATCGGCGGGGCGGCCGCGGACCGTCGACCCGACCGCAAGAGTGACGGACAGAGGACCGACCACGACGACGACGACGTCGACGACGACGACGACGGCGACGACGAGCGAAAGCGAGAGCGAGAGAAAACGACAGCAGGGCCACGACGGGCACGAAGTAGGCCACGAAGGGCGACAGCGGGGACACGAAGGGAATGCGTATGGGGCCACGAAGAGCGCGAACGAGCGGGGGCCACGAAGTGCAGATAATGCGGGGCCACAGAAGGCAACTATGGGGCCAGTGAGGGTAGCACCTGGGCCACGTAGGACAGTGAGGGGGACACAAGTGGCGACAGCGGGGCCACGAAGGGCACGCACATGGGGCCACAGCGGGCGCGACTCCTGGGTGCCTGGGTGTCGGGAGCGCGGCGTTTGGGCAAATTGCAGGAAATCCCAACGCAAGGCCAGTCTTCAGTAAGTTGCAAGCAAGTCTCCAGCGAGAGCGCGACTCCAGAGCGCCGGGAGAGCGATTCCATAATAAATTGAAAGGAAGTCCCAAGCGAGAGCGCGATTCCTGAATACAATGCGAGGAAGTCTCGGGCGGGAGCGGGGGTCCTGGTTAAATTGTAAGGAAGTCTCAAGCGGGAGCCGTTGTTGTTGTAACCCAGGGGCCAGGGAACCGGTTTGAGCAGGAAGATTTCCCCTGTAAAAAAACAGGGTGCGAGCGTCGAGGGGCACACTTTGATTTAGAAAAAACAGTATGCACCGGTGTGGGGGGATCAACAATAATTATTCTTCAGATATGAGAGTTCAACAACAACAACAACAGCAACAACAACAGCAACCACAACAACAACAAGCACACCAACAATAATAATACGAATAACAACAACATCGAGAGCAACAACAGCAGCAACAACAGCAACAAGCAGCAACAACAATCATAGTTAAGACTGTTCGCTCCTATCTGATCACGTGCCAACCAACACGTATATCCCAATCCTCGGCACCCGCCCTCGTCGTCTTCGATCGTACCCCTTTGGGGGTATAGATTCCTTGCTTGCCACGCTCATTTAGTGCAGCCGGGGAAGAGAAGTCCTAAGCGCCGAGGGCGCATCGCTGAAATCAATTGCGAGGAAGTCCCGCGCGACAGCGCGATTCTTCAATACATTGCGAAAAATAGCAGGCGGGAGCCGCTGTTGTTGTAAACTGGGGGCAAGGGGCGCAGTTTGAGGAGGAATATTTTTTCTGATACAAAATAGGGTGCGCGCCCCAGGAGGGGCACTTCAGTTGAAAAGGCACACCTGTTACCGGAGGAGGGATCAACAATAATCATTGATTTGTAAATTAGAACTCAACAAGAGCAGCAACAACAGGAACAGCAACCCCAACACCAACACCAGCACCAACACCAACAACACCACCAAGAACAACACCAACAACAACAACAACGACGACGACAACAACAACAGCAACAACAACAACAGCAGCAACAACAACATTAACACACGTGATGTGCCGTCATGGCGCGGCTTATTCGGTTCGAGCCTTTCTGGGTCGGGATGGGCGTTGCGAGACCCGACGGAAGCGGCACCCATCCCCGCCGATGGGGGCAGGTCGGCCAGCGGGGGCAGGGTTTCCCAGGTGAGAGCGGGAATGGTTCTGACTGTCCAGGAGGAGGAGGAGGAGGAGGAGGAGGAGGAGGAGGAGGAGGAGAAGGAGACTCCTCGTCATCCCCACCTGCCTCGCTGTTCTCTTGTGCCGGCGGGCCGCAGGCTCACGCAGGATTGGGTCAGACCCTTGTTGTGACTTTTGGCTTGGGCCCGCCCGAGTCAGCGACGCGGGCGCAAATATTCTGCTACGCGTAGGAGTGACCTTTCGCCAGAGCGACCTTTTGGTGCGTGACGTTCAGGGGGCGCGGCGGGTGGGCAAGCCCGAGCACGTAGGCCGCACCGCCTGCAACGATCAGCGAGCCGAGCACCAGGTGCCACCCCTGCTTAGGCTGATTCTTGCGTGTAGCCGAAAGATAAGTGGGCTTCGTGCCTATCCTTTTTTATCCCTTGCTATCCTCATCCGCCTCGTTTTTTCCCTTCCCCATTCCTCCTCGACCTCCCCTTTCTCTAGCCGCCGTTCGGGTTCATCAGAGCAGCGTGGGACATCAGGCGAATGACCTCACTCATCCTCCCTGTTCCTCCCGCCTCATTCCGCCCCTCATCCCCGCTTCGCATCCCTCACCTTCCCATCCTTCTCATCAGTATTCTCCCTCCTTCTGCCCTTCCGCCCTTTTTTTTCTCCTCCTCGTTTTCCGTTCCTCTCTTCTCCCTCCTCTCCCCGTTTTGCGCAAGATCCGCCCCTCCTGCGCTTCCCCTCCATCACCATGCTCATCACCCCCACCCCCATCACCATCCTCCGTTCTGCAAGTAAGCCGTTTGTTTTTTCTGGCAGGCTCAGGGCGTGGAGAGCTCTCGCCAATTGGCTCCTCGATCGCCCTGCACACACTCTTGGCATCCTGGGGCATTTACAGGTGGCTCCCGCACATCCCACCTGTCACCACGTACCAAACCACCCCAACCCAACCCGAAGCCCTCAATTTGCCCTCCATTTCCAGTGGGGGGGGAGTCGGGGAACGTTGAAAAAAAACATGGGACCCGTACCCCCCCAACCCGAAATTGGGGTCTAATTCGGGACTTCGGGTTGGGTTGGGGTGGTCTGGTAGGTAGTCAACCTGTCTTCCCACGGGTGCCACGTGCAACATTGGCCCAGGCATTGCCCGGCCCTCTCTACAGCTGGGCGGCGCGCACGAGGAGGCAGGGCGAGAGGGCGGCCTTCAGAGGAGACCTCTGCCTCTCCGGCAGCGTGTGGCGCACATATATGTATGTATGTATGTATGTATGTATGTATGTATGTATGTATGTGTGTATGTATGTATGTATGTATGTATGTTTGTTTGTTTGTATGTATGTATGTATGTATGTATGTATGCATGTATACATGTATACATGTATACATGTATACATGTATACATGTATGTATGTGTATATAATGTTCCCAGACCTCCAACGTATTGAAAAAAACAAGACGGAGGTTTTTCTCGATGTTCGGCCGTTCGGCCTCTAGCGGCCCTCGCCGGGCCCTGGAACCGTCAAAACACGACTCAGGATGAAAAACCGGGTCTGGGGAATGGGTCGAGTCTTCCGTGGACCCCGTATTGAAAATATCATGACGTCGGATCTCTGGGTTTATGTTATATCTGTTCCCCAATCAGAGCTTGTCTCTGTAGGGGCCCTCGCGGATTCATATGGTGAGGTTAGCTGTGGCGCCGATGTCGGCGGCACGCCTGGGTGCCCGCGGGTGCCCGGGTGCCCGGGTGCTCGGGTGCCTGGGTGCCCGTGTGCCCGGGTGACCAGTTGCCCGGGTGCTTGGGTGCCCGGGTGCCCAGGTGCCCAGGTGCCTTATAGCCCTACAGCTCTATAGCCCTATAGCTTTATAGCCCTATAGCCCTAATGGCCATGTGGCCCTACCGCCCTATAGCACTATAGCCCTGCAGCCCTAATAGCCTGTTAGCCCTATAATCCAATAGCCCTACAGCCCTATATCCCTATAGCCTTATAGCCCTATAGCCATATTGCCCTAGAGCCCTATATCCCCATTGCCATATAGTCCTATAGCCCTATAGCCCCATAGCCATATAGTTCAATCACCCTATAGCCCTATAGCCCTTATGCCCTTATAGCCATGTAGCCTTGTAGCCGTATGGCCCTATAGCCCTATAGCCCTATAGCTCGGTATGCCTATAGGCCTATAGCCCTATAGACCTTTAGCCCTACGGTTCTATAGCCCTATAGCCTCGTAGCCATATAGCCCTGATAATATTGTGTCTGGGGCTGTACCCCGGTATCATATACATATATATATATATATGTATACACATGTTCACGTACATCGAGGTACATGTATAGTTGGATGTAGACGTATGGATTTGCATGTGTGCCTGTACGTGTAGCTGTATATGCGATGTGGTTGTACATGCTTGTGTGTCTGTATATGCATGTTTATGTAGTAGGCAAACATAAATGTATGTGCATGAATGTATAGGTACATATGTATATACACATGCAGAGGTGGTTGTGTGTACATATACGCATACGTATATGCTCATGTGTGTATATACGTGTAGATATATGTACGTATGAGTGTATGTAAAAGTGGATTCGTGTAGTACGTGTATATGCACATGTGTGTTGTAGCTGTAAATGCATACGTATATGAATGTGGTTATATCTATATGTATTTATACGTATACAACTGTGTACATATTACATAGATTCTCACGACACCTTTCCATGGCCCTCCCTGCCCTGGGGCACCTTTCGGACGGCGCTCAGGCCTCCCTGGCTAGCCGTCCGCACTCCTCTTGACACCGCGGACGGCCCCCCAGAAGCCTCGCAATGATTCCCGAGATGAACAAACGCGCCCAAGGATGGCTGCCAAATGGCTCCAAGATTGCCACAACAAGACCTGACAGGCTCCCGAGAAGGCCTCAGGAGACCCCCAAAAGGGCAGCGAGAGGCAAAATTCATTGATTCCCCTCCCCCCGAGTCTAGAGTGTTGAACAATGCTGGCGTTATCGCCCTTTCGGGTTTCCGACAGCCCAAGACGTCCCCGAGATTGCCACAAGACGGTCTAAGGGGCCTCCAAGAGCGCCCGAGCACGGCCGAAGAGGGCCCCAAGACTTTTCAAGGATGGAAGGATGGCCCCAAGAGGGCGTCCGAGAGGGCCTCAAGAAGGCCCCTGAGGCTTCAAGGCGGCCTCTGAGGACCACAAGACGGCCCCAATGAGCTACAAGACTGCCAAAGAGGGCCCCAAGATGCTCCAAGAGGCCCCTCAGACGCCCCTGAGGCTTCCAAGAGTCCCCAATGTCCATAAAGCCTCCGAGAGACCCCCAAGAGGCTCCCAATATCCCTCGAAGAGCTTCTCAACAAGCCCCCCAGGGCCTCAAGATGGCCCAGTAACGGACACAGCTTTGACGTGACAAACAAATCCTAACGCCAAGGGTCTCAAGAGCGAGCGGCGCCATGAGCTCTCTCAGGCAATGGCCTGAAGCGACATCGTGGCTCCTGGCTCAACCGATCTTTCGTTGGTTCCTGGGCTTCTCTCGCCTCGCGATGCCTTCCAGCAGCTGCGCCTCGCCGAGTGCGTGTCTGGGGTACCTCGATTGTCCCGACCGGGCGCCTGAGGGATGAGGTATGGCCCGACGACCGCTCCGAGGAGGGCTGGTGTGCTCGACCTGCCGCTGCCCTCCCGACATCTCACCGGCAAGTGCGTCTCGCCGAGGGACTCCGGCTTTCATTGTGGTCATCACGTTGGCCCCACTCACGGAGACCCGTACTCATTTGACCAAGACCCCACTCTCGTATACCACCTTCGCCCCCACATGGCATGATCATCACCGCCGTGACCGTTTTTTTCCCGTATTACCATTGGCCTTTTCGCGGTCATGATTTGAACCCGTGCCACGGCCTTGCCCCTAACCTCCACCATGCTCATGATTGCAACCCCTCTCGAGGCCATAACCCTCACCCCCTCGTTGTCATGATCCTTCCCCGCTCCAGTCGCCCTCGCATGCTCTTAGGGAGACGAGGAGATAGGGCCGTCCCAGTCAGTTTGCATCGAAATTCGTCCAAAGTTGTCCGCGCTAGGACCAGCTGTTTGCCCAGCCCGGCTTCGGGGTGCCCATCTTCTTTTTTTTTTCCCCCTAAAGGCTTTTCTTTTAGCAGCGTTCAACCTCTCCATCGTTTCACAGGTGCCCGAACGTAAACGGACGCAGGACCAAGAGTCGAAGCGTAGCGACGCGAGCCATCAATTCATGTATATGTGCCCATACAAACGTACACGCATACACACGTGCATAGGTACATTCATACCTATGTTCTAATACGTGTCTGTATTCACATGTGCAGATGCATATATATATATATATGTTTAAGTATGCGCACATGCATCTACATTTCTGAAATCTGTAGTCAATAAATGTGTACATGTGTACGCAGTGAACAAAAGCGCCCTCCCCGGCCCAACTCCCTTCTGCTCGCCGCCAAGCAGCGTTTTTGCACGCGGCGCCCGAGCCAATTTTTAGTCTAAGAGTATTCGGCTTCCCGCTCCATGCGGGGGTGCCTGCGGCGATCCACATGCAGCCTGATCCCGCCAGCCGAGAAGTCACCCTCATCATCTCCAGCTCCACGACGGGGAGGAGGAGGGAGGGAGAGGAGAGAGGGGGGGGAGAATGGCAAGCCAGGCGCGCTCGCGCCATACCTGACATCCTACCCCTTTCCACCCATCCCTTCCCATTGCGTTGTTGTGAACTATCCGCCGACGCGTGACACATCGGACCTGGAACTCCAAAGGGGGCCCCTATCGTGTTATGCGCAATTGGCAATTGGAAGCATGTGCACATTGGAGGAGGAGGGGCTGGCGGATTAGCAGGAGGATGCACAGAAGGAAAATAATGAGGATGAGGAGGGAGGAGGACGAGGACAAACAGAAGCAGCAGCAGCAGAAGCTGGAGTGGAAGGAACGGGAGGACCAGGAGAACTGGGGGAAGGCGGAGGAGGGGAATTGATGGGTGCGACAACGATGGAACAGGACTCGGATCCAGAAAAACTGGCCGCGCTGGAGAGAGAGAGAGAGAGAGAAAGAGAGTGCCGATCCGAAAATGAGGCCCACGCTGCAGCGGGAGCATCATTCTGAACACACCGAAAGCAATCGGATTGCAAAACAATAGCATGACAAATAACAAGTTTTGAAGCGCTGCATTTCGGGAAATCAGTACGCGGACAGGGTCGAAAAGTTTCTGGACAGAGTCAGGAGCGAGAGAGAGAGAGAGGGGGAGAGAGAAGAGTAGTACAAGTACATGTGCAACTGTAGAAAAGGGGGGAGGAGGGGGGCAGGAATAGGAGTCGGAGGAGGAGGAGGAGGAGGAGGAGGAGGAGGAGGAGGAGGATGAAGAGGGCAAGGCGGGATGAGAAGGAGGATTCCGAGAAGGAGGATGATGAGGAGGGGGAGAGAGGAGCGGGAGGCGGAAGATGATGAGGAGGAGGAGGAGCAAGAAGAAGAGGAGGAGGAGGGAGAGGAGGAGGAGGAGGAGGATAAGGAGGAGGAGGAGGAGGAGGGAGAGGATGAGGGAGAGGAGGAGGAGGAGGAGGAGGAGGAGGAGGAGAGACAGGCTGGTGGAGAAGCTAGAGGAGACGGCTTCGGAGGCGGAGGAGGCGCAGGATGCGCAGCAGGAGCACGAACATAAACAGAAGCAGAGCGGGCTAAGGCAGAGGGCACGAAGAACCGGCCCCCTTTTTCGCACTCCAGCTCCTCCGCCGGCCGCTGCCCCTTGCCGTCCGCGCCCTGCTTCTCTGCTGTCCTTCGTTTCTTGGCGGCGCGCAGACAGTCCTTCGAAGGATCGAGGAGGAGGAGGGAGAGGCCGGGGAGGACGAGGAGAGTGTGGTGGAGCTGGTGGAGAAAAGGAGGAGGATGTGGAGGGTGGGGGGGAGCTGGTGGAGGAGGAGGAGTAGGAGGAGGAGGAGGTCGAGGAAAAAGAGTTGCATGGGCAATGGGGGAAGGCTTCTAAGAAGCAGGGGTGCTTCTAAGAAGCCCTCCCCCCTCCCCTCCAGCCCCCTCTGCGCGTGGCCGCCTCTCCCTTCTCTCAGCCACCCTCCGCCTCGATCGGTCCGTGGCCGCTGAAAGCCCGAGCCCCCTGCGGCGGCCCAGGCCCTCGGCGCGTGCACTGGCCGCTGCGCACGCCGGGCGGGTCGCCGTCAGGCGGCGGTTCGGCGCCGGCCAGGATGACCGACGTCACCAAGAAGCTTCAGAAGGCGGTGGCGAAGACAAGGACCCGAACTCAGCCACGCGCGGAGGGGAGATGGGGGAGGGGGGAGGCTTCTTAGAGGGAGGCTGCTTCTCAGAAGGCGCGGACCTCGTCTGTAGATGTAACGCCCGCCCCCTCCCAAGGAGCAGCCTTCTATGAAGCCCTCTCCCTTCCCCCTACCCCCCTCTGCGCGCCGCCAACGAAGATGAGAACGACAAATGCGGCCGGACCGAGGTATATGATCGAGGTCGGTTCGGAGAGGGTGCCCCAGTGTTCTTGGTGTTCGTGGGGTGTTCTTGTGCATCCTGGGGGAGGGCACCCTCGAGTGATCTTATGGTGTGGCGTGTTTTGGCCGGCGGAGGGTCCCATGTTCTTGAAGGATGTTTTTGTTCTGTTCTAGGTCCAACTGAACCGGGTTGGGAGGATGGGAGCGGGAGAAATGACCATGCCATCGATATTCCAGCGTGTGTCGATGGTGTTTACTACACAGTCGCGCCCCGTGTCTTCCCAACCCCTTCCCTCCCAACGCGGTAATGCTTTCCCCAGACGACGAGGACACTACACAAACATGCTTTCGGAGCTTTGCGCGGATCGCTTGGGTCCGCTCGGGGCTCCCCTGGCGGCGCCTCGGGCGCCGCCCCTGGTGCCTCGGAGCGCGCCAGGGAGGGGCGGCCCAGCGCCAGTCCAAGAGATCTGCGCGGACCACCGGAAGCTCTTGCTTATGCAGCCTTTTGTTGCTGTTTGCTGTGAGGACGGTGGCAAACCTCGGCACCGGCCCCGAGGACGTCCTTGGCGCCGGCATCAAGGTGTGCGTCCGTGTGCGGCCCTTCATAAAGGAGGAGATTGAGGGCGATCGCAGCGGTGGCAAGTGTGAGTGTTGCATCGAGATGCCGACCGTGACCTGCACCGTCATGAAGAGGCCAGACGAGGAACGCGCGTTCGAGTTCGATCGCTGCTTCTGGTCACATTCGAAAAACCACCCTTTGTTCGCAAATCAGCAGACTATTCAGGATGAGCTTGGAGAGACAATGCTGGACTGGGCCATCAAGGGCTTCAACAACTGCATCTTTGCTTATGGGCAGACGGGCAGCGGCAAGAGCTACAGTGTCTTAGGCGGCCCAGGGGATGACCGGGGCCTTCTGCCTCGCATCGTCGAGGCCGCATCCTTCCATTCCCCCTCCTTGTCTCTCTCCTCCCTCTCCTCTTCGCCGTCGTCATCGTTTTCCCCCTCCTGCAGGGCCTCTTCCAGAAGTTCGAGCAGATCCCCGAGGACGTGAAGAAGAAAACACTGGTAAGTTTCATGGAGATCTATTTAATGGCCTTCCGCTTATCCCGCTACCGTGCCTGAGCTGTGGGTACGAAGCCTATTGGATGTTCGTTGGTATCTAGTGGGGAGCCTCTTGGAGGCAGTTTTGAAGCGTCTTGGTGGCCGCTTTGGAGCCTCTTGGAACCTCTTTTGGGCCTGTTGGGCGCCGTGTTGGGGCCTCTTGGGGCCTCGTTTGGGTATCTTGTGGGCCGTTTGGGGGCCTCCTTGGGGGCCACTTAGAGGCCTCTCGGGGCCTCCTGGGCACCTCTCGGGGCCTCTTGGGGGCTTCTTGGGGCGGAAGACTCGGACTTTCGGTTCGTGCTCCCTATCCTGGGCCTCTTTTGGGATAGTCTTGGGGCGGCCGCCTTGGGCGCCTCGTGGGCCGCTTGTGACCGTCTTGGCCCTTCTAGGGGCCCTCTTAGAGGCCGCTTGGGCCATCTTGGGGCGGTCTTGGGGGCCTCTTGGGCCGTCTTGAAGCGTCGGGAAGCCGAAAAGGTGAGAAAGCCAAACATGATTCAAAACCTAAAGACGACCAATGATTTGTGCCTCTTGGGGCCCTCTTGGAGGCCTCTTGGGCCGTCTTGGCTGCCTCTCGGGCCGTCTTGGGGCCATCTAGAGCGTCTTGGAGCGATCGTTCGGCGACTCGGGGCCCTCTTGGACCGTGTTCGGGCCCTCTTGGCCCGTCCAGGGGCCCTCTTAGAGGCCTCTTGGGCCCAGAAATCACGCGACGAGACGCGCCAGAGCCCAGAGGGGGCGCAGCCCAGAGGGCACGCGCCAAGCCCCAGGAGATTTCCGGAAGTGTGGGCCCCGGCCACTTCAAGACTCCTCAGGACCGAGGGCTGCGGCTCCAGGGAATAAGCAAATCACCTGAGGGCACGCCCACTCCGTGCTCAGAGGCATAGTGGCGGACAACGAGGAGATCCGAGACCTGCTCTGCGAGAAATCGTCGGACCAGAAGGCGGAGAAGAAGCTGGACGTGCGGGTGCACCCCACGCTAGGGTTGACGATCCCAGGCCTCAAGGAATGGCCCGTGGACAGCGGCGAGAGCGTCATGAAGCTCGTCGAGCTGGGTCAAGAGAACCGGCGGGTATCTGCCACAGCGATGAACGCGTCAAGCAGTAGAAGCCATTGCGTCTTTACCTTCAAGACCGGCTTGGTAGAACCTGACGGCACCACGAAGACGTCACAGACGCATCTTGTGGATCTGGCAGGTTCGGAGCGGGCCAGCCGCACTAAGGCTGAGGGCGAGCGCTTGAAGGAGGGCGCTGCCATCAACAAGGCCCTCTCGACTTTGGCGAGGGTCATATCAGAACTCGCGAAAGCTGGCAACAAGAAAAGCAATCCGCCCTTCCGGGACTCGAAGCTCACCCATGTCCTCAAGGAGGCTCTCTGTGGGAACTCCAAGACGGTGATGATGGCAGCCATATCCCCCAGCGCGATTGATTTTGACGAGACGCTCTCCACCATGAAATTCTGCCAGCAGGTGAGCGACGCAAGAGGACTGGGTCGGCTGCGCCGGCATTGGCGCGTAGGCTTCTCGCGCGTGAGCGCTCTCGGTTTTTAAGTAGCGTGCCGCGCTGGCGGATCGCGTAAGCTGCGGCGTAAAGCTACGGTGTGTCATCTTGCGTAGGACCCGCTTCTCTCCGTCGCACAGGTGAAACTTGTGCAGACGAAGGCGGTGGCGAACACTGTGAACGAGAACGGCATCGAGGCGGCACTTCGCCGCGAGGCCGAGGAGCTGCGCAGCAAGCTGGCCATTGCCGAGGCCAACGCCGCGACCAGCGGCACCCTCGCCACGACGCAGATAGCTGAGGTGGAGGGGTAAGGACGAATAGTGGATGGGATTTATTACGATGCGTGATACGGTCGAACCAAGGTATAAGATCGAGGTCGGCTCGGGGAGGGTACTCTAATATTCCTCGTGGTTGTTGGATGCTCGTGTGCATCCTGGGGAGGGTGGGGGAGGGCACCCTCGAGTGATCTTATGGTTTGGGGGCGTTTTGGCCAGCGGATGATCTCATGTTCTTGAAGGATGTTATGAAGTCCTAGGTCCTAGGTTTAAGTCGGGCCTGTCCCTCTACAGGAGGAATATCCAAACATATTCAAACAATCGTATGGGGACTTTGTTTTGCATTTCTTGCTCATTTCTGAATCTGTTTTGGCTACTTTCCATTTTTCCTCGAAAATCTGCCTGTAGGGGGACAGGCCCGACCAAATCCTAGGTCCGACAGTACCCCACCCCGAGCCAAACCTCGAGGTTGGTTCTTGGGGTCGCCGCGGCGATCGCGGCGACCACAAATCGGGGCAGGGTTTCTGTCAGGGGGCCGCGTGCCCCCTCCCAGCCCCCCCCGCTCTGCGACGCAGAATCGCCTCGTGATTCACCATCTAGCGACAGAGATGTGCCAACTTACCTATCATATGGGCACTACCCTTTTTTGGTCAGGACTGGTGGGCGGAGGCCCAGATGCCCAATGGATTTTGAGGGCATGCTTTCGGCGGATCTCTGACATGTTGCATGGCTTCAGGAGGTTGTCGGCGCCTTTCAAAGGTCATCGGCTGTTTTCAAGGGTTTCTGGGATATTTCTGGGAGCATCTAGAGGTTTCGGAACGGGGAGGGAAGATGCTACTGGCACGACCGAAATGGTTACGGAAAGTACGGGAACAAGGACCACAGCAGTCTTCCCATTCTGATGCGGATCCGTTGTTTTCGTCGCCGCCGGCGCTGGACGTCTGAGACGCGAGCTCGCTTGCCCAGCAGAGGCCGATGGTCGATTCTGGACAGCGTGTGCTGCTGGGCATCGCGCTGTGTGTTCCCGTGCCCACTGCGGGCGTGCCACGGGCAGGGCGACGGCGGGCGGGCGGGCGGGGGAGCGGTGGCGGTGCGGGGTTGCTCGAGGGCCAGCGGTGGGCAGAGAGGTGGCGCGGCGGGGGCCGCAGGTCGCAGGGCAGGGGGGGGAAGATGGCCCCCGCTGCGCGCGCGGCCTCGGGAGGGGGGCCCTACTCCGCCTCCCCTTCCCTTCCCTTCCTCCTCCTCCTCCTCCTCCTCCTCCTCCCTCCTCCCTCCTCCTCCTCCCCCTCCCTCCTCCTCCTCCTCCCCTTCCCTTCCTCCTCCTCCTCCTCCTCCTCCTCCTCCTCCTCCTCCCTCCTCCCCTTCCCTTCCTCCTCCTCCTCCTCCTCCTCCTCCTCCTCCTCCTCCTCCCTCCTCCTCCTCCTCCTCCTCCTCCTCCTCCTCCTCCTCCTCCTCCTCCTCTCCTCCTCCTCCTCCTCCTCTCTCCTCCTCCCTCCCTCCCCCCTCCTCCCCCCTCCTCCCTCCTCCTCCTCCTCCTCCTCCTCCTCCTCCTCCTCCTCCTCCTCCTCCTCCTCCTCCTCCTCCTCCTCCTCCTCCTCGACCCCTCCTGCGATCCTGCAGCGCCGCCGAGGTGGAGAAGCTCCTCTCCAAGCACGGCGAAGGGAGGGTCAGCCTCATCGTGCAGAGGCTGCAGCAGACGGAGCAGCTGTCCAAGTTCTACGGCAACAACTACGACACGTGGTTGGCCGAGGAGCAGCGCTCGATCAAGAGGCGTCGGGGAGCGCGAAGACCACCGTACCCCACCTCCCCCTCTCTCTTGGCATCGCTCGGAGGTGTGTGTTTTTTTTCCTTCGGCGAGGACCATCGACGAGCATCGTTGATCATTTGGCGAAAAAGCCACGCACGAAACCGAAACACACACAGTGAATGGACTTCCGAGCGATGGCCAGCTCTCGAGCGTTGAGAGAACACCCACCCGGAAAAGTCAATTGGAATGTGGCACTTGTTCGTTCGACATTGGCATTCACGGCGTGCAAGTGCAGTCGCATGTCCTGCCTCGCTAGTCGACGAGTTCATTAGTTGTTGACCGTCGATTGGCATCCAGGGTGCGCTAGGGACGCGGTGTCTCGCGCACCCGTGGAGTACCCCTGGCAGCATTCGCTATGGAGTTGTTGTTGGCCGAGTGGGACATCTTCCATCGTTATCCCCCTCCTCCTCCTCCTCCGCCTCCTCCTCCTCTTCCTCCTCCTCCTCCTCTTCGTTCTCTTTGCTCGGCAACCACCCGACAGACGGGCCCGCGACCCCGCATCGTTTTCTCCAGGCAGGATCCTGGCCCTTCGTGTGCGCTGTGCTTCTCTTCGCCCTCTTCCTGCTCCTCCGCTCGTGCGCGAAGTGGTCAGGGCGCGAAGGCTGTCACGACAGGCCAAGACAGATCATGCGAGAGAGAGAGTCTGCAAGGAACAATCGAACAATGAGTAGAACCTTCAACACCTCCTTATCTGCGAAGATGACGTGGCTCAAAAGCTTCACGAACGACTTCGATACCCAGGGCCACCGCGGCCACCTAGAGCTTGGCACGTCTCTCGAGAGAAGGAGACGCCGATTTGCAGTCTTGCTCGTCACAGCGAGAAGGGCTCAGGTAGGCACCCGCCTCAAGCAGAGGCCTCGTCGAGGCACGTCGCCGTGGCTCGAGCTTCGGAACTCTGGAGGTTTGGCGTGTGGAATCCTGTAGGTTTAAGTCGGGCACGCCCCTCTACAGGAGGCAGATTCAAAAATTGCCAAAACATAGTATGGGGACGATTTTGGACTGTTGTTGGTTACATTCGATCATGTTTTGATTCTTTGTTGTTCGTCCCAAATCCGCCGTCACCTCCCGCTTCTGGCCTCCGTGGCCCCTTGCGGGGCGCGGGCTCGTCTTGCGTGGTTGGCTTCTCTCCTCCGTCCCGCCCCTGTCTCCCAGCCTCAGGTGCGAACCTGAGGGGAATACGGACAGGAATAGGTGAGCATGGCTAGGTGAGCAACACATGGTCGAACATGAGTCGTAGGATGGTCAGGGGCCCCATGCATCGTGGATTTGGATGCCTGTGTGAGGATGCCGCCGAGAATGCATCACGGATGGGAGCGATCGTGTGCGCTGATTCCATACATGTCCGCGCTATCTGATTTTCGCAGAACATGGTTGCGCGCAGGAAGACCAGGAAACTCCAGATCAGGACAATCCAGACCTGGCCAACCAGTTCCATCTATAGCCTGACCCCCCCAGACGTTCC